AAAAAAGAGGGGGGCTTTTGCAAACATTGATCCATTTGCTGTCATTTGTGCAATTATTCGAATATTTGTGACCCATCACAACAATGTGCAAGACCCCAGGATTGACAGCTGCCCCCAGTTTACCATTGTAACTTGAGTCATCATAGGGAACCAGCATGGCAGTTCTGAATTTGGAAGGAAATAAAAGAGTAGGTTTTTTTCTCATCCAAGAATTTACTCTGATCCTCTTAACAGGTGGAAAGAAAGCACCAAAGCTATGTTGTTTCCAATTTAAAGTTAATTGAAATTTAACTGTGATACAGAGAAACATGATTATTACCATACTCCTAAAATTGTCCTTGACTTAACTAGAAAATAAGTTTGCAGAATGCTGTATGTCAAATTGTAACACAGTATACATAAGAATATATTCCCCAGAAAATTCTGTATTATTACGTTTTCCCCTTCATTCACAGAAAATCCATCCCAAAGAATTACACTTTATAGCACAATCTGAATTTGGAATTCAGATTCCCTAATTCTGAAGGTTTGCCGTGTTTGGTTTGCTCAGTTTATTAAACAGGTGAATGCTAACCCCACACAGTGAAGCTTTAAAAGGAGGGATAGTGGGTAGATCATTTCTGTTAAGCTTCAGAGCTTTAGTCTATTCATTTAAAAAGGACAAAAAAGATTTGCAGTGTATTTCAGAAAGGCATATGTAGGATTATTCCACAGCAAAGGCCAAAGTTCACATTCCCTAGAATATCAGGGGAAATTCTCCCCTCAGCATGTTACTGTTTTTAAAACAACTGCTTTTCTTGCTGATTAGATTTTAACTCCAGGACTAAATACCAAAATGAAAGCAGCAGATAGGGAAGCTCTTGCATATCTTCCTGCTTTTACCCTAAGCCTGGCTATTAAAGGTAATTAATTTATGGGCTGGCAAAGCCTACTGCCTTTCCTCTATGGATTTGTTAGTTCTGCATTCAATATGGGATTCCAAATATAACTTGTATCCACCATTTATAAAATACAAGGACTGATCCCTTTGACTTCTCTTGTCCCTCAGAGATTCCAGGATTAGCATGAAAGCTTTCTGTTTTTAGAAAAGCAAGTCTTGACTCTCTGTGGATTGGGGAAGACTGTGAATCACCCAGCCATGAGAGCCAGCTGGATAAACTTTTCATAACTGATGCATATGAACTGTGAGGCTTGGCCTTCCTAACACTTAATGGGTGTGGTTGTCAGGGTAATTTTCTGAATATTACTATGATCACTTTTATCTTTTTCTAACATAATGTCAACAAAGTTAGGCACCTCTACAATCAGAAAATTTTGAGAAAAATTATTTGATACTTCTTACCTATGTATGTTTCCTCTTGTGTGCAGTTAGTCTGGTATCTGGTAAATATTCAGTAAATTAAGTGAGAATGTTCATACTGCAGTGAATCGTGTTATTGCACATGAAGACTATCAAGAATTCACATCAATCAAAAGTTGATATGAAAAAGCAAAGAGTGTTTATGACCACTATTTAAATAATCTATTATTATGACTGAGATGCCATCTTCATTTTATAGATAAGGTAACAGAGCTCAAAAAGGTTACTCACCACTAGTGGAGCTGGAATTTGAACTGAGGTCTTTCCAGTGCCAAAGTCCTGGACCAGCATATAGCCTTCTGCCTCTAGGTGATGACAGTAAACCTTTGATACCCATGATGGAAGGATCCGGAGAGCACCATGAATCCCTAGATTCTCAAATACTATGGCATGGGTGTACAGTTTCCCCCTTAAAATGCAGTATTTCTCTGGCTGGGGCTCCCACTGAAACTGTTTAAATGACAGTGTTTCCTTGTTTCACATTGACTGTCTGGTGGACAAGTCCAACTAGCATCAAAGTCAACATTCTATTCTTTAATTTATCCAAAAAGGAATTCTTCTATAATCTGGCAAAACCTATCACTTTTCCTTGTTTCCTGCCACCTCTGGCTCTTGCAGTAAGCTTTCTTTGGGGAGAATATTTTCCTGAAAAATAAACTCTTTAATGTCTTCACCAGAGTTCCTGGGCATATGTGTGGTGACAGATAGAAACCAGCTTCTCCCAGTTATGATGTGGTCGGGGACAATCAGTGGGTCTGAGTCATCGCCTGTGCCACTCACCCACACACCAGCTTTGGGCGGCAGTCGGAATTGAGAATCCTGCCTCAGGCAATTACATTTCATATACAAATCATATATTATAATTACACGTCGTGGGTCTGTGGGAGAGAGTATAGCTTAGTGACCAGGAACACAGATTCTGGAGGTAGACTACTTGAGTTGAAATTTCATCTTTGCTTCTGATAAGCTCAGTGGCCTTTGACAAGTTACTTAACCTCTGTGTGCCTTAGTTTATGCATCTGTAAAATGGAAGTTGTAATACCTACCCTAACGACTGTTGTAAGTACTAAATAAGTTAGTATTTGTAAAATAGTTAGAACAGTGCCTGGCACATAATAAGCAATAAAACTGCCAGCTATTATTGTCCTGGTTTCTCATAGAAGATCGAACAGTAAGTCCTCAAATGCCATGTTTCCATTTTGATGAGGAGATTTGTTTGACTCCATTTGCTTCTGCACTGCCTACTCTCTGACGACTGTTATAAGTACTAAATAAGTTAATATTTGTAAAATAGTTAGAACAGTGCCTGGCATGTAGTAAGCAATAAAACTGCCAGCTATTACTGTCCTGGTTTCTCATAGAAGATCAAACAGTTAAGTCCTCAAATGCCATATTTCCATTTTGATGAGGAGGTTTGTTTGACTCCATTTGCTTCTGCACTGCCTACTGTCACATGCTCCCTCTATAACACCCCAGGGTTTTCTTTGGCCTGTCATGATTCTCTTGGACTCCTCATTCTTAGCTGTGTTTGTTGTCTGTTCTGCCCACCTTCAGCATCTCCCCTCTGCTCCCTCCCTCGCCGTTCCTTCCTTGTCTGCATACCTTCCTGCACTTTTCTCCCAGCAAGCTCTTCCACCAGGTTGTGAGTTGGAGCTGCATGGACCCAAGCCTCCTGGGTGGCTTGGGAAACCAGGCTTTGTTCCTCCAGATTTCACCCTCCTGCGGCTTTACTTTTTGCCAGACTTCTCCAATTCTCATTCTGCTGATGTGCCAACCCCTCAATTGTCAGGGCAACCACAGCAACCTCAGCCCTCTCTGCTGTCCAAAATATGTCAGCAGCCAGGCTGAACTTCCACCTCATGCCACAGCTTAACTTCTACAGAATACTCTGTTGTGCACTGAAGAATATATCAGCAAGACTGTCAGACATTGTTAGAGCCAATCAATCCTTGTTACATTTTTACACAACGCCTTGTCTTCTAAGTCTGCCCACTGGGTTCATTTGGCATGGGTTACCCCAAAACGAATGTAACCTAAAGAAATTGTGCATACAAGATAAACACTGTGCCCCCGGGAAGAAAGATATGCAGGTTAAAAATTAGCACTTAGAACACAGAAGTTTTTTCCCCAAAGGAGTAAATTCTCACTACTGGATTCCCTGGGTCCTTTCAGTCTTGTGGTTTAAGGAGACACATGAATTGGTTAAAATTTTCCAGTGAAAATGCCATTCAATTAAATAAGCATGCCGGGCGCGGTGGCTCAAGCCTGTAATCCCAGCACTTTGGGAGGCCGAGACGGGCGGATCACGAGGTCAGGAGATCGAGACCATCCTGGCTAACACAATGAAACCCCGTCTCCACTAAAAATACAAAAAAATTAGCCGGGCGTGGTGGCGGCGCCTGTAGTCCCAGCTACTCGGGAGGCTGAGGCAGGAGAATGGCGGGAACCTGGGAGGCGGAGCTTGCAGTGAGCCGAGATCGCGCCACTGCACTCCAGCCTGGGCGACAGAGCGAGACTCCGCCTCAAAAAAAAAAAAAAAAATAAATAAGCACAACAAGTCTAACGAACTGGGAATATTTCGTGTTCTGAAGTTTGCCTTTTTCTCTTAGGGAGTTGCTCACAGATGTATACCTTTTCCAGAGAGAATAATTGGGGGATTTAAATGCATTTTTATACTGAGTAAAGTAAGTGGCAAGGTTGCAGTATTTCACTCTAACCTCATTTTAGACCCCCGGTACGTTGGTACAGTCTGTCCTTATCATCTGCAACAGGGCATCTGATCTGAGTGTCATGCACTTCCACAAAATTAAGAAACTCATCTGCACATTTTTGTTTTTTTTTAAGACAGCATCTCACTGTTGCCCAGGCTGGAGTGCAATAGCGTGACCTCGGCTCACTACAACCTCCGCCTCCTGGGTTAAAGCGATTCTCCTGCCTCAGCCTCTCGAGTAGTTGGGATTACAGGCACCCACCACCATGCCCAGCTAATTTTTTTATTTTTAGTAGAGAAGGTGTTTCGCCATATTGGTCAGGCTGGTCTCGAACTCCTGACCTCAGAGGATCTGCCTGCCTCGGCCTCCCAAAGTGCTGGGATCACAGGCGTGAGCCTCCGCGCCCAGCTGTTCATTCATTTTTAGAGTGTCTGTAACATATGCTCTGTATAGAGAATGGTTACTGTATACTCACAGGTGTCAGGTACTTTAGAAGAGACAAAGAAATATAAATGGTGGGTCTGTATACTCAAGATGACACACATGGAAACTTAAATAGCAGTGTAAAGTATGTCACAGGGCCAAAGTATGTCCTTGTGCCAGGCTAATAGCTCAAATGATCAGAGCTATAACTTCATAGGAGTTAAAGTAATCAGAGAAGTTTCATGGAGGAAAAAGGGAAATGGACTTTGCAGTATAAAGAGGAGCTGGCTAGCTAGAGACATTTTATGTAAAAGGAATGGTAAAATGACTAGCCTACAAGTATTTCCTGAGATTTGTTCAGAGAACCCTGATCATAATTAGAAAGCGTTGGGACACCGGGTGTCAAATCTTTATCTGCTGTTAACTGTGTGTGGCCTTGGACCGGTTCCCTTGGCAGGTTACAGCTATAATTTTCTCATCTGTAAAGTAAAGATAGTACAGAAAAGTTAATAACATGTCTTTTTATTTTACCACTCAGTAGGCATTTCCCCAAATGATTGCTGCCGTTAACATTACTCGTACTACTGTCACTGTTCTGCCACCACCACTGCTATTGCTAATCTTACCATTACTCTTGCACTTTTACTGGTACTACTAGTAAAACCAGTTACTGCTATTAGTACTATAAGTTATATCACCAGGTCACATCCCAGCTCCTTCCCTGCTTGTCCCCTTCTGCCCTCCTCATTGTCATCCATTCTTCTTTCCAAAAATTCTTTGTAAGGAGCCCTAACTTGGGGATGGCAGGGTGGATCTGGTATCGTCTGGACTGCAAAATCAAATTTGAAGGCTGAAGTCAAAGCCAGAACCTTTGACCTTACTTTACTCCCAAGTTATGGTGAGGAAAGGTAAGTCACACAGAACTGGACCCCCAGCTCGAAACAAGAACGAATCGGAGAGCCTGGGCTGGGCTTTAGGTTTCACCGGAGCCATGTACATAGCTCCAAGGATACTTCAGGTGAGCTGTGAAGTCTAGCCTGCCAGATTGCTTTGGTGGAGCAGCAGCCATGTTCCCTCTGCAGCACAAAAACTAGGGATTGCTGTATTAGACCACTGTCAAGGCTTCCATGTGATGACTTCATGGAGGTTGAGTCCTGTAGCTCTGTTATCCTTCTTCCTCCTTTCCCCTTAATTTAGAACTGGTTATGCGGCATTTGGAGCAAAAAAAAAAAAAAATGGTTTCTCTCTACTTGCTTTAGAAGGCATTCCTTTCCTTACAACATTTCACCTACTCTTTAGTAAAAATTTACATCAGTCATCTTAATGAGGCACATTTTGAGCATTTTCTTGTAGAGCCACCCTGAGCATCAAGTACATCTTTTAAGAACAGGAATGAATGTTAAAATATCCAAAATTGGTGAGATCCATGCAATGTTACTTACATATGCCTTTATGCCATTACAGAGAGATGAATCTGTAACGGAGTAGGAGGAGTAAGAAATGTATGAGTAAATTAATAAAGGTGACCCCATTCCTTGCACCTGCTCTCTGTGTGATAAATAATAATAATTTCCAGTTCTCACTCTTGATATATTAGACCACTTTCAAGGTTTCTCTGTGATGACCTATTTCCTCATTTCTTGTTTCACTTACCAAGGTCTCCTATTGCATAGATATGTAAAACTTGTCTGGTGGGCACATTAGATATGTGTTTTACTGCTTTATCTCAAGGTCTGGAATATTTTACAAGCTGTTCTTAGAATTTTCAATTAGCAAATTTTAATTAACTAATTGGGGTTTCTTATTAAGAAGCTTTTATGATTTGTCATAGTAGTCTAGCTATGTGTGCACCCTGTTCTATTAAGAAGTCATTAAATCCTCAGAAACAGCCTGTGAATTCATTAATCTTACTGTGTAATTGCAGTAGTCTGAGTATGGAGCAGGGGCATTTGCAAGATAGTGTCTTAAAATAGGAGGATCTTCTGGGTGGTAGGACGTTACATCAATGGAACTGGGCTGGGTAGGAAATACAGTAGTCCAGGGTAACCAGAGTGCTCCGTTTGAATGTATTTTTGAGTTGTTTTCATTCCTCCACTTTCTTATACATCTGTATTTGGTGTTCTTGAAATGTATAATGCTTCACACCAGGTGCGTTGTTTGAAATCCTGCAGAAATGTCCCCACTTAGATGAACTACCTCGAGGTATTGCTTCCTCTGAGGATACCTTGAACGAACATCATCCCCTATGTCATCATATCCTAGAAAATAAAAGCAAAAAATCATGTTATTTATTTTATAAATAAAATAATTAAGCACTGAACCACTTCTCAAGTGCCAAGTGGGGCCTCATATCTCGGACACAAAAGCTAGAAATTTCAGGAATAAATGTGGCCAACTGATGTCAGGGTCTAGCTGCTATTCCTGAAGGTCGCAGGAGGAGTGCTTTGAGGATTTAAATTCAGTTCACTTACCTGGGAGAGAACCAAAGATGATTCCTATGTCAGGTCCAAATAGGCCTTTGCCACTGGGGGAAGGGAGGGAAAAATGCAGACTCAGGGCAGAGCAGAACTGAGTCAACGGCACAAACTTTCCATCAACAAATGGCTTTATGAGGTACCACTAAAACTCAAAAGTGAGGTTTGCCATTATTCGTGTGCAGCCTTGCCTCCGTGTGATCTCACATAAATAGACTCTTGCTTTGGCAGTGGCACTCAACAGAGTTTACTGCCACTCCAGCCTCCCAGTCCCCCAGTGGTCAAATTGACAGTTTGCAAACATTCTTCTCAGACAGCCGTGGAGGCAGATGTCCCCAGCAGCCCGGACTGGCCATAGCCAGAACCGTGAGGTGAGGTTCGGCATGACCGCATTTTCACCCCACCTTCCTTTTGGGCCATGGTGTGACTTGCCTGGTGTTCTCTGGCCTTGTACTCTGTAGCCCTACCACACAGGGCCCTTTCTTCCAGAAGAGCAGTCCCTGGCACTTTTATGAAGAGAAAATAAACTTTCTCCCCAGTAGTGTTGAGAGGCCTGGTTAGGAGTGGAAAATGGGGAACAACAAGTGGAGCGGATATTAGGGAATAATAATGAGCAATTCATGAGGTTCAAGGGCATTGACTAACCATGGCCTAGCACGTTATCATCCTTGATAGCATTCCCACTTTAAAGTCTTCGGAATGCGATAGCATTCCCACTTTAAAGTCTTCGGAATGCCTGAGTCACACCCCCAAAGAGCATGATCTTAATAGGGGTCTTTGGTAACCTGGCAGAATCAATGAGGGAAGTAACTGAGTCAGAGGACCCTCAGTTTTATAACATATGGCTAGTCGACTGCTCTCATGAGAATGTGAACGGGAAGGATAGATGCACATTCACAGGTGCCACGTCAGCGCCTCCACTACGTTCCTCCCTTTACTTCATGACAGCTCTCGGAGCCAAATACAGGTTCTGATTCTTGTGAAACGCCTTTAAGATCTGCTCTACCCTACTCACGAACTTCCTTGACACTCCTTCACTACTTCATCTCTGCTACCCCATCCCACCCAATCGGAACACAACAAGGTCGCCTGTCCCTTCCTCCAGCACTCTCTTAATTCAGTGAATGAAGTCAACGTGCCCCAAAGTGAGTTCTTGAGAACACTCATCCCGTGAAACGCTCTTCCAAAGAAGGAGTCTGTGGTTGAGTTTGGGACCTGCTGTGTGTCCTAGGTACAGATTTAAAAGATTCACAGTGCAGGTTCCAGCCTCTGAGCATTTTATTCACTCAAGATAATCTGGCTAACCTTGTTGAGCTTTGGCACTCCTCCACCACCCTTTAGGGAGTGCTTCATGAAGTAGAGGTCATGCCTAATTGTGGTCTCATATTACCACCCCCAGCTGACATTATTGTATAAAAACATGCCTTTTAGTACACTGTCACAATCAGTTGTAAAATAAACAAATACAGTCAAATTGCTGAGCAGGTTTGGGGACTGGGCTGAGAGGGTAGAGAAAGAAGCCTCTCTATGTAATTCCCAGTAAGCAGTTGCACCCAATTTCACGAAACGACGATTTGTTCTTGACTCACAGAAAGCCTGAAACTCCAAGAATGCCCCTTAACTTCTTGTTCTTTTTTAGAAGCCAGGAAACTTACAAGGCTTTAGGGAGGTGATGTCCATCAGGAAAACACTCTAGAAAGCTAATTAAAAGTCCGTCAGTACAGAAAGTGTTTAAGGGAAACAAATCATTGCAGTTTGATTGGAAAGGCCTCTGTCAAAATCAGCCAAGAGCATTAACTTAGCACTGTTGTAAATGAAATGATATAAATTATACCGCTTTTTCTAAAAACACACTGAATTCAGGGAATGCATATTGGCATCCTTTTCATATGAGCTACAAAGGATGTGTTTCACTTATGACCACTTTTTTCTATTACTTCACAAATCTGGCAGAAACCAATGTTGAACATGTAAAAGACTAATATACTTTTTAAGAAATTTTTGTAGACCAAACCACAAGAATTTATTGACCAGGCAACTTAATTGTCATTTAGTTGGAAGATGTCAATTAGAAAGAAGTCCTGGCTGGGCACCATGGCTCATGCCTATAATCCCAGCACTTTGGGAGGCCGAGGCAGGTGGATCACCTGAGGTTGGGAGTTCGAGACCAGCTTGACCAACATGAAGAAATCCCATCTCTACTAAAAATGCAAAAATTAGCTGAGCATGGTGGTGCATGCCTGTAATCCCTGCTCCTCGGGAGGCTGAGACAGGAGAATCCCTTGAACCCAAGAGGCAGAGGTTGCAGTGAGCTGAGAACATGCCATTGCACTCCAGCCTGGGCAGTAAGAACAAAACTTCATCTGAAAAAAAAAAAAGAAAGAAAGAAGTCCTGTTTGCAGTCTGGAAAATCAAGTGTGATACTTAGAGAGTGACCTTGTTTACAGATTGGGGTGACATGCCTTGCCCCCCACCCATGAGCCTCAAGTTTTTCCAGCTGGCAAATCACAGGCTGTAAAAGTTAAGTCATATAAGGCTTTATAGCCCCATGTACTAAAACTATTCCCAGCCAATGGGTAATTTTTAAAGCTGTTCTAATCCTACCTGTAGGTGGATAAATTTGATTGTCACAGAAATAACTGCATTTACACATTACCAGTTGATACCCTAAGCCACCTGCATTTGAGTTGCTGAATTTGACCCTTATGTATGGGCTGACTAGTCATAATATTGAAAAGCTGCTGGAGTACAAGACCAGAGTTCTTTTTTGAGGGGTGGAGGACAAGATTGATATTGCAGATGGACAAGGATGCCCTGCCAAAGCCACCATCCTAAATTAGTGTTCCCAACTCAGCAGCCACACCCACTGCTGACCATGCTCTATTCCACAGATAGTGTCCCTCTGCAGATGATGGCAGACACTGAGCTGCCAGAGGGCCATCTTTATTGACATTGCATGATCGGTGAGACACAGCCCCAGTCAGGCTGAACAGAGTAGTTGAGCAGGAAATAGTGAAAGGCAGCAGGAAGAAGAAATACCATGGACCCCACTAACTACAGTATTTACCTCTAGGAGCTATGATGGATTGGATCCCTGAGCTGGGCTACTACAGAAGGACAAGTGATGTCTATCAGAAGCCTCTAGGATGTTTGCAGTTAGATATCTAAAGTCTCATCTTCACTGGTTCCTAGACAGACTAACTGGGAAGGGCTGGCTGAGGGATTAATGAGCTCACCGCAGGGTGGGGCATGGCAGGACACCAGGGTGGAAAGATGTTGGAAGCCCAATGGGTCACCGGTCATGTCATCTAGCTCAGGATGTATGCCTTTATCTGCCATGCTGAGGCAGTGTGAATGCTGTCACTGTGACTTCTCTGATGACATCTCCAGTAAGAAGCTGACTGTGTTGCAGTTATCCAGAGTAAACATCCATCTTTTCTCCATATCATTGAAGCTGTACTTCTTACCATCTCACAGACTCAGCCCATAACTTAGGATACATATGTATTTTACAGATCTTTGATCCCTCAAGAGGATTAAACATACTTTTCAGCCTATTCATTTTCTAGTTGTTCAAGTTAAATTTGTCTTTTTAATCCTTCATAACCCTCCACCCCCAAAGAATATAGATGTGTGTGTGCCACCTCATTGGAGTCTCTTCAGAGATTCCAGGGATCCAAACCTTTCTGAGTAGGTGGATTCTGAGGTCAGGCACCCCAGCCAAACCACAGAACCTTTTGAAGCCTACTCCCCTCTCGTCCTCTCAAAGCTGAGCTTGCATTAAGCTGCAGGCACTTCAGCTAAGTGTGAAGTCAGAGGGCTAGATTTGTCATTTGTCATGGTAACCAATATGGCACATTTTGGGTTCAGCATTAAGTTTGTAAATCCTTTTTATACACATAAATTTTAATCTCAAACATGACCTTGCAAATGAATGCCAGAATTGGGTTTGGACTGTTTTTACCTCTTGGCTATAGTTAACAAAAAGCCTACCCCTTAAAATGTTGTTCAAGCTTAAAATTTATCCACCTACAGGTAGGATTAGAACAGCTTTAAAAATTACCCATTGGCTGGGAATATTTTTAGTACATGGAGCTATAAAGCCTTATATGACTTAACTTTTCAGCCTGTGGTTTGCCAGCTGGAAAAACTTGAGTTTGGTAAAACTTGAGGCATCATCAAATATTTGTTCCATGCTTTTAAAATAAAGTAAGCTCAGGATTATGCTAATGCTGTAACTAATATCCTATGCTACTGCCTTTAGAGCAACAAGAGGAAACTGCACGTTTCTCTCTGCTAAAAATGATTTTGCTTAATACTATGAAGCTCTTTGTTGATCAGGATGTGGTTCCACTTGGTAACATTTAAGAGATCAAATAGGTAAGATTTTTATATTGAATATTGATAGCAGATGCCTTCAAATCCCTCCATGCTTACACTCTCATAAGAATAAAAATATCTTAATGTGTTTTTTCCTAAACATGTTTCAAACATGTTTTCAGTGCATTTCTGTGCATAACAAGAAAACAGATGAAATTTGTTAACATCTGATTTTAATAGAAAGGAATATGCTTGTTGTTCAACTCCCCCAGCCCTATAGCTGGTTGCAGTTTTCTCCAGCCCTTTTCCCTCAGTGATTCATAACTCAGAGAACAACTCCATTGCCAACTACAGCTCAGCCACTTTGGGAAGGCCTAAAGGGATTTAACTTCTTGTAGCCAGATCTGTATTTCAGCTGTTGGTTTACTTATGAGACCTACAAAAGAATGTAAGAGAGAATTGGT